ATTAAAGCATGGGAGTCATTTTTAACATCCCAGGGGTATTCCTGAACTTTTAGCAAAATATAACTTTGTCCAATATTTTGACTTTTCTTTTTTCCCCAGACTGGAGATGCATTAGATGGTTTGTGCAAAAAAGGTAAGCTTCATTGCCCAAGCTATTAACAAAAAGAGCCAAACTCTGATGTGAACCATACTCACCAGTATGACCTCCAGTGCAGGAAGAATGCCCATGTTTGACAACGTTTTGAAGAAGGCGTCTCTGTTTTGAGGTTGTAACGTTTGTGAGAATGCACAAAACTCCTTTAGAAAGTTTACCTAAACAAAGAACAACACACGAAACAAGTAATGGAAAAAATTAAATTGAGTATTTGGAATTAAAATTGGATAAACTACTTTTTTAAATTTTATTCTGGCATACCAGTTCTTGTCTTTTGTCGTCGTCTGTAGCCTCGTCTGTTAGCTGTGCAAAAAGGTCTGTCAGGAACTTCTCATCGTCCTGACAGCAAAAGGAAAACATTGATTAAGAGTGACGTAAATAATCAAAGGTTCGGATATTTTGCCTGTTTAAATCTATAAGTAAAACTACTTTTGCTTTTAAAAAAGTTTCTAACAAGAAAACCTGATATGTTTAAAATAGGGCTGTGAAATTAATCKWGTTAACTCTGATTAATTTTAGTGCTGCATGGGCATAGATTAAAAATTTTAATCATTTGACAGCCCTAGTTTAAAACAAATCGATGTTTAATGTTGAAAATAAATGTTACGAAAATGTGTCCAACGCATTTAAAAAATAAAAACAATAGTTTATTAATATTTAGATCCTAAAGTGTTTGCGTTGCTGGACTTCGAAACAGCACAGCATATCAGCGTCAACAGTGTGCCCGTTTCAGCTTTCCTCTGGTGCACAAACTGATTTACACAACACTTCTCTATCTCTATGGAGACAGCCATACATAAACACTGCTGAGTTGACACACAGCACAGTGCAAAAACACAAAGGTCACATGATCATAAAAGAGTATAGCAACCTTACTGTAGGTAAAGCAAAATAAGCTAAAGCAAATGTTGATAATATGTGAAATACATAAAAAAATTAACAAAACTGCCTCTCACCTGTAGCATGCCCACGATCTCCACCTTGTTGAAGAAGATGAAGGAGTGCAGGGTGGACAGCATGTTTTCCTCAAAAACAGAGGGCGTGGGCAGCACCATATCCTGAATATACTGCACCCGGTACGTCTGGTGTATTTTCTGACGCAGTTCGGGGTCAGAAATGGGAATCACCTCCTTAAATCGAGCAGTCTTCGTGAGGAACTCTCGATGCCGCCGTGGCTGCGGTAGCGCCGGATCGAACTCCAGACAGCCGATGACGTCCATAATGCACTCGTCCGAAAACATCACCTCAAACAGCGCGGTGCGATTCAGCAGGAAGATGCCTTTGATGATTTCGTACAAATGGTGCAGTCCCTCCCTGTTCTCCAGATCCTCGCACACGCGAAACAGTTCCAGGAGCTTGCGGATGTAGCCTTCGTTCTCCACCGCCAGAGCCAGTTTCTCGCGTCGCAGCGGGGACGGCAGCGAGGACGCCACCAGCTCGGCGAGGTCCTCCAACCGGTTTAATTCGCACGGTGGCAACTCCAGACCGGGCGATGACATCTCATCAAACCGCTCCTCCTCAGACTCATCCACCACATCCTGCGTTATGTCCACTGACGGGTCTTTTCCCTGCACCTTAATAATGAAACAAAAAATGGGTTTATTTAATATACCAATTTAAATCAACTCCAAATTAATCCACTTATAAAAAACATTTAAAACAAAGGAATTCAGTAATTTATAMAGAAATAAATGTCTAATTTTTAATTGAATCCTCCTATCAGTATCTACGGAGTAGCAGGTGACAGCAGTAGGCAATAAACCAAATAATCGCACAATTACATTGATAATTTTCATTTTTCTGTTTGTTTTCTTCATATCTCCATCTTTTCTACCCCTTACCCCTAATTTACACTAAAGGCGTTCCATCTCCGCTCTGCTCCAGTCCGACCTCCGCAGCAAATACACACCCATTATAATCAGAGTGTTTACACTGGCTGTTAGGGGTGTAAGAAAATATTGATACACTGAAATATTGTGATATTTCATTTCCCGATACTGTATCGATTTTCTACAGCCCTGTAT